CCAATTCCAATAAGTGACACATCTTCAGAAATGCGAAAAGCCTCCAAATCCTTTAAAGAGCCAGTGTGCGGCTCTTTCAGACACATCTTCCACTCAAAGACACAACAAACAAGAATGAAGGCATAATGCTGCCATCTTCCCTCATCAGACACCCACTGCCGCTCAATTCATCTCAAGAATAAGAGCAGAGATTGACAGCATGCTGTTGAGACTGAATGCCTTGTGAAGCCCTGAGCATTGGCTTACTATTCTTAAGTGATCTATCTTTAGCTCCTCTTTATCAGCATCCCATGAGAATGCAGAATGCACATGTATATTGTGTAGGAAGGGCTGATTTCCACTTGGCCAGAGCAGAGTAGGAGGGCATCAATTATTCGAGAAGTCCAAGTCAGTCCAGCGGCTCTACACACCTCTCAATAAAACATTGATTCAAGTGGGGAAAAAGCTTTTTGTCAAGTGACTTTTCTGGCTTTAGCTCAGCTTCAGGCTTCCAAGATCAAAAAAGAGAATCCTCCTTGAGCTATTCTGAGAACGATGGCCAAAACAGGAGTAAAAGGAGGATGGGAATGGACCTTAGTCAGGGTAGACGCCATATTGAATTTTTCAAAACTCACAACTTTCAAAACTGTTTTATTGAGTTTTGCCAACTGAAAATTATTTTGGAAAGATGTTTCATCAGCTGAACAATCAGTACATTGTTAAACAACAGTAAGATCTTTCGAAAACACCGTACTTCTGTGCCTCACAGCCTCATTTTCATTCCTGCCAAAAAATTCAACATGGCGCAACCCTGACTAAGGTCTATCGAGGGAGAAAAGGAGAAAGTGGAGACAGTGTAGGGTTAGTGAGAGTGGATCCCAGAGGTGAAGACTAGCTTTCACAAAGACAAATTGCTACTCATGCTGGGATCCTCCAGCGTCCTGATTAGCTATAAACATGTAAATCAGTGGTTATCAACATTTTTTTGGCCAATGCCCATCTATACAGTATTTAGGTCACTTATTGACCTTCAACAAATAAAATGTAGTGTGAATATTAATGTTGATTTTTATTCTGTGTTAACATACACACACAGTACACACACATACTATATTATGTAAACACCACACACTTTTATTTTGGATGCGATTAATCGCGATTAATCCATTTGACAGCACTAGATAATACTAGATCTAAACAGTTCTAAAACGAATCTCCTGGGATGGATATTAACATCAGGTGTAAACACACATTTAACACAGACAGAAAGCAAATGTATTGATATATTGTTGATTAATTGTGCTTCATTTGATTAATCAAGCATATGATGCAAGTAATTTGATCAATTTTTAATCAACAGCCACACTGATGGAAAGAGAGAGAAAAAATGTTGATTGTCTGAACACAGTGCTGGAGCCTGTTGCTGGCATGGAAGGGTGGGAAGAGATGCTGGGGCCTTGAGCAAAAACACATCAATAAGACACATGTCTCAATCTCAAAACCATCATCTCCAGCCTCTGTTCATCAGCACTGACCCCTACTGCCCCCCAGCTGAAGACGTTCATCTAAACACTCTAACCTCCTTGCCTAGAACACACACATTTGTGGAAATTTATATATTCTCACCCATTCTCTGTCTCTCTCACTCATCATAACGGACAACTTGGTAGCAGATCGAGATTGAGAGAGTGAGAAATATCGAATAAGAGAGAGAGAGAGTGATAAAAACAAGTAAGAGCGACAAAGGAAAGCTCCAGGGCAGTAAATAGAAACTTTCATTTCCCAGAAAGTAATATAACATCAATTGTGTTTGGTCATCTCAAGGGCTCGAGTTGCTGGCCTGATCAATACCGCCAGGACTGAACTAGCAGTGTGCTTTCCTGAACCTTCATCTAGACTGTAATAGCAGTCAGTGTGTTCCACTATCCAAGCCTTAACACAGACATTAAAACATGTCGCTTAGGTGTACAGCAACACGTTGTCTTGAGTACTTGCTGGTCAAATAATAAAAAAAGAAAAGAAAAAAGAAAGAGATACCATTTTCTCTAGATAAATTAAAAAAAATAAAACATTAAAAACTAAGACCAATCATTTTAAATGCTACAAGTGAATTTAGGCATCATAGCTCTATAATGTACGGTAAAATTTATATTAATTTTGAGTTTAGTGGATCATGTGACACTGAAGACTGGAGTAATGGCCAGTAACAGCTTTTCCATCACATGTCATTTAAATGTAATTTAAAATGTAAAATTATTTTTTAAAATATATTAAAATAGAAAATGGTTGTTTTAAATTTAAATAATATTTCACAATATTTCTGCTTTTACTATATTTTGCTACATTACTATTTTACTATATTATACTATATTTTGATTAAAAAATGCAACCTTGATGAGCATAACAAGCTTCATTCAAAAATATTTTAAAAAATCCAAAATTTTTACATTTGAATATTTCACAGTATTATGTTTTTTACTGCGCACTTTTGCTATTTTTGCTGCAGCACCAATAGCACCCTACTTCCCGTGCCACTGTTTAATAATAATAATAATAATAATAATAATAATAATACATTAATGGGAAAACCAGCCAAACATCATGCTGAAATCATCAACGGCATCAGCTATTGTCTATATCTCTGACTATCATCAATACATGACATCATTTTCTATCAGCACAACCCTAGACTCTAGCAAACCAAACACTGATGCACATTTATGCATTGAATCCGCAAACCTTCAGAGAACATCTCTGTTCATTTGTTTTTGTATTCACCACCAACACTTTGCCCTGCTGTTGGCCATAAATATGGTGGATGAGCGGAAAGGTCACATGACTGAAAAGGATGAATATATCACACATCACTACATATAAAGTAAACTCTGTAAGATTGATTTGTCTGTAAAATCCCATTTGATTAGTCAATGACACATGTTAAGTGCACAAATTGTGCTTCCATTTCACTACCTTCCACCACTTAATTTTTTTTGGTGTAAAATGTCTTTTTGTTCCAGCCTATCCTAGACATATCAGATTCCCTGATCAGCAATGAGACGAGTAATCAATTACTCATGTCTTACCGAGGCCTAACAGGTCGATGGCAGGCTCTGCACTCTTCTTAGGACTGATTCTGGAATCTGTCTGGTTGTCCTCTCCTTTCTAGGATGAAGGGAGACAAAAAAGAGAGAAAGGAAAGAGTGTTAGCGAGAAGATTTTTTGGGATCACAATTCCGAATGTGAGCATCAGCCTAATAGGCCACCAGTTGTTGTTCTGATTCGAATGCTGTTCTTCACAAAAAACAGCCTTCAGATACTATGTATACACAGCTTCTGTGTTTTATCTTTGCTAGTCGGGCACTTTGACGGCTCTGAACGTCCTGCGCTGCAAATTGTATGAATAGATAATGCAATGCGCTGCCGAAATAGCTCACTGGCTCTATTTGTTCATTGCCTGACTGACACCCAACTGCACCTCACAGGTGTCGACTGACCATGCTACTTTGGAGATGCAGTTCAAAGGCGCTCTTGAGGCCTGTGATTTGTGACAGGCAGATAGAGGCATCTCGGGCTGAGAAGACTAACCGTAATCCGGTCTGAACGGCCGATCGATGGGCTCTGGGTTAAAGCCTGGATCAAAGCCAGACGGAGGCCTTTTAAAACCTCATTCAACGCAAAAACACCCTCACATATATACACAAACATACAAGCAAACTCAAGAGGACAGCATTGGGTTGCGTTTTTTTTGAGGGGGAGGCAAAAGACTGGGAAGACAAAAGGGCAAAACACGTCAGAACAAACACAAACCCAGCCAGACTGTGCTGTCAAATCTGAATAAAACCACCAGTGTCTGACATCTGCCTTATTAGCACAATAAAAGAGAATGATAAATGCGAATTTGTCTAGATGTGTCACTTAACGTCATCATTGCGCAATTGTTTTTGGCAAAAGATTGGATTTGAGCGATTGAAAAACGGGACAGAGCCGACACAAGCACTCTAATGAGCATCTGCAGGCAGGGTTTGTGGTGAAGTGTCAAGCCAGGTGCATCGTGGGTAGAGGATTAAATGGGGAAAAAGAAATTTGCTGCTCTCCAGTGAGCTCGAGATTCGGGTCCATTCAACTGTGGGCTAAAAAAATAAATAGTTGCCTAATGAAAAAACGCTACTGATTCCAAAGCCATCAAATGCAGTTTCTGATGAGAAATTACATCGATTGTTCATAATTTTACAAGCTCCCGAATTATGAAAGCTATCAGAAGGGTGTTTTATACATCACTGGGTCCTAAGCTCTTGAGAAAAGGTTGGAAATTGAATTAAAGTGAATTGAATCTTAATCTTTTAGCGATGAAAAGCTTCTCCAGCCTTGCATGTCAGCTTTTGTGTACAAGGTCAAGTCTTTCACTTGTGACCTTTTTTATTGTAGTACACATGCAGAGACACACATAGGCAGGAATGTGATGTACAGCTGCCCTTCACAAAAAAAAAAAAGATTCACAATTTTTATTCACCTCTATGATTGAAATCCGTAATCTTAAAACGGTTGGCTTTGGTTGAATTATGTATGAATTGAGGGCTTAGGTGCTCTACTATTTGTTTACTTTGACACACGCAGACTTTGAAGACGACTTCGAAGGCGAAATCCTTCAAGAATGTATTTGTGCTTCAGATGATGGAAACACAACAGGCTGAGAAGCAAACACAACATTCACAAGACTGAAATACAAAGGCTTAAGGCACACACATCACGCCTTGTAAAACAGGGATAGCCAACTTTGGGAAGATCTGGGGCCACACAGCAACGGTCCCTTTAGCCTCAAGGGACGAATTTAATTTTTAAAGTCTTTTATATTAATGAGGTGAGCAGGCCAAAATGAGCTATTTTAACCCCAAAATTAATTATTTAACACCAAAATATTACAAATAATTAAAAGAAATACTAAATACTACTATACTACTGAAATGTAATTTAAATATAAAAATATAACAATGAAAATAAAAGCTAATATTAATAAATATTATCAAATATTTAAATGAATACATTAAATATTATTAAACATCCAAATATTAATAAAGCTATAATAATAATAATAATAATAATAATAAGTCACTTTGGATAAAAGCCTCTGCTAAGTGATTAAATGTAAATGTAATATATAAATAACACTAACATAACACTGATGCACAATTTGACAAGTAGGATACAGTTTTCTGCTTTTTCTTCACTCTATGCTTTTATTTATACATATCTAATTATTACTTCTAAACTCCTCCAACACCTCTTTCAGTTCATCTCATCCTCTCTCTCAGCCTTTCCTCACTGCCTCCATCACTCTCGAAAGCCATTCAGCGAACAGGTGTGAAATTGCTTGAACTGTGGAGTTCTGTCTCTGGGGCCTCTCCAATCAAGGTCATTTCTAATTCATGGATACTTCCCTTTGATGGAAGAATAATTCCATTTGGGTCACATTCCCTCACACTCAACGCATCCGCGCCATGCAAACAGGATCAGAGGGAGATGCTCATGTGCACTCAGGCGCTATGAACAGAGACTCGTTCTACACTTCGTTCTGGACTGATTCAAAGCTGAATGTACTTGGCTGGGCACTCACAACTTGCATTGCAGCTATGAATATCGGAGAGGGAGATATGAGTCTGTCACCTATTTTGCATTCATGGACTGTTATATTATTTTTGTAGATGCTGAAAGACCAAGAAATGATCAATGCAGTTTTTTAAACCGTGTGCAGGTGATTATCGAGGAGGAAGACGTGTGAAATATTCAAACCAAATCGAGCTGAACACAACCAACGTAGAGAAATACAGTGAAATGGAAGAAAAATAAATAACTATATAAATAAGTAAAATAAAAAGTGAATAAATGAGCAAAGCAGAGAAAAATACTTAAATAATGTGAACTAAAATAAAATACAAATAAAGAAAAAGAAAAAGAAAAGTAAATGTAAAATTAAAATTAAAAATACAAAAATAGAATAATAAAATAAAGTAAACATCACAAACAATATTAAAAGACAGACTTTAGGTTAAAGAAATAATAACCGTGGGGTAAATAAAACAAAAAATAAATAATTGTTTCACAAGACATCAAAAACAATATTTAAAGACAGCCTTTGGGTTTAATTTTTTTTTTTACCATAACCATAGTTTCTACCATAAAAACATGTATTATTCTACTGTACATTAAAACTGGCAACTTTTTATTAACCACTACTGAAACCACTTTAAAATAAATGGAATCCTCATTAATTTATAGTTTTACAATAATTATAATTATAATTATAATTATTACCTATTAATAGGCTTGGCTATTATCAATAACTAAGAACAGAAACAATGGTTTAAATGGTACAATATTGCAAGGGATCCAACAAAATGGACAAGACACAAAACAATACAGCACAACACCATAAAGAAACAAAATACCTACATAATGTTTTCTTGTCTGTGAAATATAAAAGAAAAAAAATAAGTAACAAACTCTAGATTACAAATGATTAGAAGATCATTATCAGAAGATTAGAAGAATGATTAGAAGATCAAATAAAAAATAAATATGGAGAGAAGGGTATCTGGTATCTTGAGGAATGGAAGAGATGCACAGAAATAATGATAGTGGAAGGAAGCTCTCTGCTGAAAGTACAGTGTGTTCTTGAGCTCATGAGTGGGCACATGGTACTTCCTGTAGCACAGTTCAGGACAAAGCCCTCGCTCCACAGAGCCCAGGGCAGGGGTATTAATTATTAGTGAAACCACAGCGTGAAACAGAAAGACAGGTGAGAAAACTACCAGAAGTGCTTTGAAGGCTTGTTAGACCAGTTCCCATTGCTGCACACAATAACTAATAATGAGGCTACCTACTGATACAATGCAAACCTATTTAATATTTTACAACAATTAGTGCCAAACTTCTAATCTGACTGACCGAGCAGCGTTATGGGCTTTAGTCGCCAAAAACTAAAGGTGGATGTAATAAATTAAACCCGTTACAGAACAAGATAAGCAGTCAAACTCATTCAGTTTCCAGTAATTAAAGCAGCAGTAACCACAGCCAGCAGTTAATGGAAGCGTGGCAACATCTGCCAGCGGATGCACAGAATGAAGAGACTCAGGCCTGTGCCATGGGGGGAGAAAACAAGACTCGGTTATCATTTAATATGCTTATCATTAATTATAGTTCATCATTGTGCTTATCAGGGATCTAAACTGGGGTGGCCTGATGAGTCTTCGGCTCGTAATCAGCACAGGCACTTACATCATGGATTACTTTATTCAAATTCCACTTTAATCAGCTGTTAATCCACACGCTCTCTCTGAGTCTGGACTTCCTGCGGCACAAGGGCAGCGCTGCAGCTCGATGCAGCTGAAGCTTGAAAACTCTTGAGATACAGGACGAATGACAGACTGATGGTCAGGCCCAGACTGAACCTGGGGACATTTTTTGCTTTTTCTGCATAGATTTTTCAGAACACGGTTGCATGTTTTAAACATCTGAGCTATATACTCTTATTTGGAGCTGAGAGCAATGTCAATTTTGACACACACACACACGCACGCACACAAAAAACAAATAGTAAAATAAATATTTGTAATAATTTTTTTTTGTTTGTATTTAAATCAAAATGTCTTTTAGTTTTTGCATCACATCACAATATAAAATGACATTTTAAATATCATTTTTTTCTTTTAATTATTTGAAGTGGTTGAACACTAACTAAGAGACACTCAAGCGAGTCAAACCGCAGCATATGACTGGATTATTTTAATCAATTATTTATTTTTATTTTTAAATACTGTCAGTCTACTGCTAATATCTTGCTGTGTTATTTTTTCTCATCATACACAGCCACTCAAAAATTTGGGGTCAGTAATAAAAAAATTTTGTATAATATAATTAATATCATATATTAAAACGAAGTTATTTTTAAATTTTGTAAAGTTAATTTTCTTATTAAAATTATTTTTTTTTAATTTTCAGTTATTCTAAATTGCAATCATATTTCACGTTTACTGTATTTTCGATCAAACAAACAACCTTGTTGAGCATAAGAGAATACTTTAAAAAATAAATAAATAAATAAATAAAAATCTTACTGACCCCAGACCTTTCAACAGTAGTGTATTTTCATCACAAAATGTTGACAT